TGTTGGTTGTGATCTCTCCTCTGTCATTCATGATTTTATTTACTTGGGTCCTTTCTCTTTTCTTTTGGATAAGTCTGGCCAGGGGTTTATCAATCTTATTAATTCTTTCAAAGAACCAGCTCCCAGTTTCATTGATCTGTTCTACTGTTCTTTTGGTTTCTATTTCATTGATTTCTGCTCTGATCTTTATTATTTCTCTTCCCCTGCTGGGTTTAGGCTTTATTTGCTGTTCTTTCTCCAGCTCCTTTAGGTGTACGGTTAGGTTGTATATTTGAGACCTTTCTTGCTTCTTGAGAAAGTACTGCTATATACATCAAGATAAAAAGCTTTTGCACAGCAAAGGAAACAGTCCACAAAACCAAAAGACAACCAACAGAATGGGAGAAGATATTTGCAAATGACATATCAGATAAAGGGCTAGTATCTAAAATCTATAAAGAACTTCTTAAACTCAACACCCAAAGAACAAATGATCCAATCAAGAAATGGGCAGAAGACATGAACAGACATTTCTCCAGAGAAGACAACCAAATGGCCAACAGACACATGAAAAAGTGCTCGGCATCAGGGAAATCCAAATCAAAACCTCAATGAGATAGCACCTCACACCAGCGAGAATGGCTAAAATTAACAAGTCAGGAAACGACAGATGTTGGCGGGGATGTGGAGAAAGGGGAACCCTCCTACACTGTTGGTGGGAATGCAAGCTGGGGCAACCACTCTGGAAAACAGTATGGAGGTTCCTCAAAAAGTTGAAAATAGAGCTACCCTATGATCCAGCAATTGCACTACTGGGTATTTACCCCAAAGATAGAAATGTAGTGATCCGAAGGGGCACCTGCACCCAATGTTTATAGCAGCAATGTCCACAATAGCCAAACTGTGGAAAGAGCCCAGATGTTCATCAACAGATGAATGGATAAAGAAGATGTGATATATATATACACACATACATACATATATTGATATATATAGGTATATATATACACACACAATGGAATCTTACACAGCCATCAAAAATGAAATTTTGCCACTTGCAATAACATGGATGGAACTAGAGGGTATTATGCTAAGTGAAATAAGTCAATCAGGGAAAGACAATTGTCATATCATCTCACTCATATGTGGAATTTAAGAAACGAAACAGAGGATCATAGGGGAAGAGAAGAAAAAAATGAAACAAGACGAAACTAGAGAGGGAGACAAACCATAAGAGACTCTTAATCTCAGGAAACAAACTGAGGGTTGCTGGAGTGGAGGGGGGTGGGGAGATGGGGTGGCTGGGTGATGGACACTGGGGAGGGTATGTGTTGTGGTGAGCACTGTGTGCTGTGTAAGACAGATGAATCACAGACTTGTACCCCTGAAACAACAAATAATACACAATATGTTAATAATAAAAAATAAAAAGAATCAATAATGGACAGTACATTAGTGGGTTAAAGTATAAGAAACAGGAAATTGCATTTTTTTAGTATTTTCCATAAGAATTTTATTAATTCCAAAGAGAAAAATAGTAACTTTACACTGGAAAAGCAGAGAAGACACTGTCTTAATCAAGTCATTAATGTTAACATCACCTGTAATAAGACATATCTTCATTGTGTACCTCCTGATATGAAGCATTGAGAAGGGCATCGATTACTTTTAGGGTAGTGTAGTAAAAAAAATACATAACTTTAATCATGAAGAAATAACAGACTAACCAAAACCAAGGGACGTTCCACAAAATAACTGGGTAATACTCAACAGTGTCAAGGTAATGAAAAACAAAGAAAGACTGAGGAACCGTTACAAATTGGAAAAGACTAAGAAAACATGACAAATAAATGAAATCTGGGATCCCAGATTGAAACCTGGAACCAGGAAAAGAATGCTAGTGGGTAATTCCAATAGATTAGTTGATTGTATTGAGTCAGTGTTGATTCAATTGTTTCAATAATTATACTACGTAAAATATTTTCTGTAAGTCTAAAATTATTTCAAAATAAAAGTTAATAAAAGATAATCATAAAAAAGGACCCTCTTTCCCTCTCCCTCTGCCCCTGCCCATCCACGTGTTCTCTCTCTCTCTCTCCCAAATAAATAAATCTTTAAACTGTGTTTAGATTCAACCAGAAAAAAAAAAGTCCACCTTCAACATTAAACCTATTTTGCAAATAGAAAAGCCATTAAAATGTTTATAACTCTGAAAACTCAACAAAGTGGGTTTAAAGGGAACATACTTTACCTTAACATAATAAAGGCCATATATTAAAAACCCACAGCTAACATTATACTCAGTAGTGAAAAACTGAGAACTTTTCCTCTAAGATCAGGAATAAGACTAGGATGCACACTCTTGCCACTTTTATTCACACAATACTGGAAGTCCTAGCCACAACAATCAGACAAGAAAAAGATATAAAAAGCTTCCAAATTCACGGAAGAAGATAAACTGTCACTATTTGCAGATGACACGATACCATACACAGAAAACCCTAAAGACTCCACAAAAAACTATTAGAACTAATAGATTCAGTAAAGTTGCAGGATACAAAGTTAACATACAGAAATCAGTTGCATTTTTATACATTAAGAAGTAGCAAAAAGAAAAATTAAGGAAACAATTCCATTTATAATTGGACCAAAAAGAACAAAACAGCGAGTAATAAACTTAACCAAGGAGGTGAAAGACCTGCACCCTGAAAACTATAAATCACTGATGAAAGAAACTACAGACAACACAAATGGAAATATATTCCATGCTCATGGATTAGAAGAATTAATATTGTTAAAATGTCCATACTACCCAAAGCATTCTACAAATTTAATATAATCCCTATCAAAATACCCACAGTGTTTTATACAGAATTAGAACAAATTAATACTAAGATTTATATGGAACCACAAAAGAAAAGAACTTGAAAAGCCAAAGCAATCTTGAGAAAGAAGAACAAAGCTGGAGGTATTACAATCCCAGTTTTCAAGATATACTTCAAAACTGTAGTATGAGTAGTAACAGTATGGAACTGCATAAGAATAGATGCACAGATGAGTGGAACAGGATAGAGAGCCCAGAAATAAACCCACATCTGTAAGGGCAATTAATCTACAACAAAGGAGGCAAGAATATACAATGGGGAAATGAAAGTCTCTTCAATAAGTGGTGCTGGGAAACTGGATAGCAACATGCAAAAGAATGAAACTGAGCCACTTTCTTACACCACACACTAAAATAAACTCAAAATGGATTATAGACCTAAATGTGACGTGAAACAATAAAACTCCTAGAACAAAACATAGGCAGTGATTTCTTTGACAGCCTTAGCACAACATTTTCCTACATATGTCTCCTCAGGCAAGGGAAACAAAAGCAAACATAAACTATTGGGACTACACCAAAATTAAAAGCTTTTGCACAGCAAAGGAAACCATCAACAAAATAAAAAGGCAGCCTACAAAATGGGAGAAGATATTTGCAAATGATATATTTAATAAGGGCTTAATATCCAAAATATATAAAGAACTTATAAAACTTAACTCCAAAAAAAATAAACAATCCAATTAAAAAATGGGCAGATGACCTGAATAGACATTTTTCCAAAGCAGACATACAGATGGCCAGACACGTGAAAAGACACTCAACTTCACTAATCATCAAGGGAATGCAAATCAAAACCACAATGAGATATCACCTTACACCTGTAAGAATGGTTAGGATCAGAAAGACAAGAAATAACAAGTATTTGCAAGAATGTGGAGAAAAAGGAACTCTTGTGCACTGTTGGTGGGAATGCAAATTGGTACAGCCACTGTGTGAAACAGTATGAAGTTTCCTCAAAAAGTTAAAATTAGAATTACTGGGTATTTACCCAAAGAAAATGAAAACACTAATTCAAAAAGATATATGTATCCCTATGTTTATTGCAGCATTTAAAAAAAGACCCTGCAGCATTTGCACTACAACATATGAAATTCATCAACAGATGAATGGATAAAGAGGTGATATATATGTATGTGTGTACTCACACACACACACACACACACACGGAATATTGCTCATCCATAAAAAAGAGTGAAATCTTGCCATTAGTTTTTTTTAAGATTTTTTTTTTATGTATTCATTTGACAGATACAGAGAGAGAGCATGAGCTGGGGAGAGGGGGAAGGGCAGAGGGAGAGGCAGGCTCCCCACCGAGCGGGAGCCCGACGCGGGGCTCGACCCCAGGGCCCCGGGATCACGACCCGAGCCGGAGGCAGACGCTGACCCGACTGAGCCACCCAGGCGCCCCGAAATCTTGCCCCTTGTAACCACGGGTGGACATAGAGGGCCTTATGCTAAGGGAAGTCAGTCAGACAGAGAAAGACAAATACATGATTTCACCTATATGCGGAATCCAAAAAACGAAACGAACGAATAAACAAACACAAGCAAAAACCGACCCATGAATCCAGAGAAGAGCCCGCGGCTGCGGGCCGGGAAGGGGCTAGGGAGACGGGCAAGGTGGCCGAGGGGTCCGGGCGTCCGGGGACGCCGTGCGCGAGTCACGGGGACGGGAGGCCGGCGCGGGGACGTGGCACCCGTGCCGCCGTCAGGGTGCGGTGACGGCGGCGGCCACACGAGGGTGGGCGCCGCGGGGCGCGGAGACTTGTCGGACCGCCGTGGTACCCGTGACACTAACGTGACGCGCGCCAACTGCTCTTCCATTTTAATCAGTGTTTGCAACGGTGGGTGTTATGTTTAAGCGACAACCTCTCAGGAGACACTCTGCTCTGGCAAACAGATCCGGCCGTGGTGGCGGACACCGTTTCCGGAGCGGAACGCCGGTTTGGCTCGTTAAACTCTGTAGAGGCTCGGCCCGGTGTGGGAGCACGGATTTCCCCACCTACGCGGGTGACTCAGGGACCTCACTGAGGGCCTTACGTGAGATTTTCATTCTGCCTCCTCTTCGTCCCCTCAAAGTCTGACAGCCCGGCGGCCGTTGGTTTGAATTCGCCTCTGCGGTGCCGGCGCCTGGCGGGAAAGCACACGCCAGGCCTCGGTCGGGCGAGCGGCCCCTTTAAGGAAGCCAGCGCTGCGCTGATTGGCCGAGCTTCGGCGTCGTTGTCAAGGCCATCCAATCCCGAGGCTCTGCAGGGCGAGTCCCGGTCCAGTCGCGGTCAAGGGGACCCCCGGGGCCTGCAGGCCTCTGCAGCGAGGACGGTCCCTCCACACCCTCGCCGCCCCCTGCCCGGTGAGTGGGCGCCGGCCGGACGGCCCGCCGGCCGAAAGCTGGAGGGGCGGGGGGCGCGGGCCGCGCTGCCCACGAGGGCTCCAAGGCCCCGCGCTTGCCGGGCCGCGCTGCGCCCGCTCCCCGGGAGCACCCCCAGTTGGCTCCCCTCCGGTCCCCAGTGCTGACCAGCATCTCTAACCTCGCTTCGGAAGAGCCCCTTCTCCTCGCAAAAGGACTCCTGGCCCCTCCCGTATCGATGTAACGGAGTTGGGGAAAGCAGGCAGGGCATTGCTAACGGAAATAAGCTCAGGACTGCAGAAAATACCCGAGTTGCAACAGTTGGGTCTACACTAGGGAAAACCTCCCGTAAGCCATGGGTTGGTTCTGGGCTGAAATACGCAGGGGAAGTGACCCAGTTTGAATGGAACATAAAAAAGACCAGAAACCGATTGTAATTATGCCACCAGTCATAAATGTAGGTAATGTGTCATTTGATCAGGAAATGAATCAGCACCGACATTTGGATGACAGGAGGTTATGAACCATGAACTTATCTCCCACGCTCCTTTTTTCAATAAGTAAAATCAAATCCCAGTTCCCTGGGGTGACTGGAGGAAGGCTGCCTCAGCTGCACTCCCAGAAATACCCCTTCCCATTGTAAACTACAGCACAGCTGAAAGGGGCTGGAGCATCAAAGAGCCCTTTCTAAGGTCTCAGGAGTAATCAAAGGAAAAATGAAGGCAGAAGGGACCAAATCAGCATTCTCAGTAGGGAGACATGTGTCACCAGTGATAAAATGTTGGAATTTTTGAAAGACTTACTTATTCGAGTAAATTCAAAATTATCCCTATTGCAAGATCATTCTTGCTTGATTTCGGAGAGAGAAAGCAGAGTATTCCGGGCATCTTAAGGAACCTCCTAGACTTTGGAAAACGGCTGTGTTAGGGTGGGGAAGGAGAGGGAAGTTGACAGTACTGAACTCCAAGGCATAGTTCACAAGGTGTTGTACACTCATTTCAGGTGTTGTACACTCATTTCAGGTGTTGTACACTCATTTCAGGTGTGGTTTCCGCTGAACACGGGGAAGTTCTTCATCCTGCTTGGATTCTACCTTTAGCCCTGGGGAGCATTCTCTAACACATCCAAACTACCATCCAGACTCAAGAAACCGAGGTCCAAAACAGGTAAGCCTACACCCTAACCTTACAAATATTCTCTTTCCTAGATGGCCGACATGAGGACTCTCTCTTCACTTCAGGAGAGGTCCCACCCCCTTATAAACAGGGGCACTGTACGAGACACAATTCTGTGATATATGGTGTGTGTGTCTGTGTGTATAGGAATGGGATTCGAAGAGTTTTCTTTATAAATGTTTGCAGCATATGGAAAAATTCAGTCATCTACTCCTATGTACAGAAAAAAAATAAGGAATGGCAAGTGACCTGAGCTAGGTTTCTCTTGTACCAGTCATGCAAACATTTATGGGCAAAAGACATTAGGGGAATACCAAGATGGAAAACATATTGCTCCTTCCTTCAAGCAAGTTCTGGTCTGCTGTTGGGAGACAGCTGACTTGGGGGTGTCAAAGTCTCCAGAAAGGAGAGAATTCCTGTAGGTCTCCATATCCTCACGGGGTGGCCTCTAACTCTCTGGACAGAGGATAGAGTGGGGCAGTGGCGGAGGGGGAGGGAAACCTCATGACCTGCCTCTTCTCTACAGTTCATCTTCCTATGTCCAGCATTGAGGCTGACTCTGGCTCAGAGGTCCCTATAATTCAAGGATCCATCTTTGGCCAGAATATAGGGAAGCCACTAAAGGCTGGCTTGCAGTTCCCACTCGCCTGGAGCCAAATTAGCAAGGATAACCCATTCTACCTACCTGGCATGGAATGCCCTCCCTCCCCCCGCATCTTCTCCCCAGTTAATCAGAACTTACTCCTTCCTGATAAGGATATGGAAAATAGTAGCTCTGCTGGGTTTCTCACAGAAGAGTGTGAATCTGGGTAGAAAGCATTGAGACTGACCACTCTGACCCAAGGTTCACAACCCTTCTCAGTAGCCTACCAAAGAGAATCATCAATATTATTGAAAATAGAGCAGTTGTAACTTACCTGAGGCTTGCAGTTTCTGAAAGTAAAATTAATAACTAACTGAAGGCCTTCTGTATCTACCCAATTGGATTAAGAACAGAAAATTGAAATTTGGGCCCCCTAGAAGTGATGGCCCACTTAAGAACTTCTTAAGTAAGATAACTAAGATAGGCAATGCCATGTGTTCATTTAAAAACTGCTCTTCCCAGGACATTTAAGTATTATTTTGTTCTTCCCCTCTTGAGAACTTGAGTAGTAGCCTGAAGAGAACAAAGGTGAAGCCAGAAAAGGATGACCAAGGGATATCAGCAGTGGGTGACATAATAAGTGGTACTGTAGGAGAGAGGCAGGGATTACAGGAAGAGTATTGACAGAGTGACCTTGAGACACCGAAAACTTCCTAAAACACAATGCAAGGAGCAGAGAGAAATCTGTCCTCAAGGTGTACAATGCATCTTCTGAATCACCCCTTCTCAGAAGCAAAGTTTCTGTCATCCAACTATACAGGAGGTAAGAGGATGGATGGTACCTACCCCGTCCCTCACAGAAAAGAGAGTGGTCTGTTTGTTTGTAAGCATTCAGTTCTTCAAGATTTACAGTGGGAAGAAAAATCAGGCAACAGGGAGAGCGGGAGAAGATTTTGGAAGTCATCTAAGTCCCTGGTCTTAGGTGAGTAAATGTTGGGCAGGCTGGTTAAGTTTGCCCAAGATCAGAGAGCTAGTTAGAAGTAAGGACTATAATCTACACCGTGTTCCCAGGAAATCTTTTTTTTTTTTTACACATTGTTATAAGCCTATGGTAGCCAAAGCAGATATGTAGAATACATTGTTTTAAGCCTCTTTGCTTTTTCACATTTTAGGTCAAGATGGGGTTTATATTCTCAAAATCTATGAGTGAAAACATGAAAAACCAACAGGAGTTTATGCTTATGAATGCTCGACTCCAGGTACATTTTCAAATAATTAAGCTTTATGTTGTTCGAGTGGTTAAAGTTTCTACAACATGTACTCCAGCAGTACTGTTCTCTTTGACCCCAAAAGGTAAAATGTTCTTGGGGCTCCATCCTCAGAGTCAAGATGAAATGCATTATTAATTATCAGGTGAATGGGTGTGTTTAGATCTCCAATCCAGATACTTGTGTAAAAATTTCCATGAAGTAAGACATAACTGCTTAGAGAGTAGGGTAGGTAGAATGATGCCCCCCCCCACCGAGTATCTGCATCTTAATCCCCTGTGAATATGCTGCCTTACACAGCAAAAGGGACCTTGCACTGTGATTAAGTTAAGAAGGAGTTTGTGATAGGGAAGGTCCTGGGTCATCCTGGATCACCTGTATGGGCTCAATGAAATCACAAAGGTCTCCTTATAAGGGACAGAGGGAGGCAAGAGGTCAAAGTCAGAGCTAAAAGAGAGACTTGAAGATGCTACACTGCTGGTTTGAAGACAGAATGATGGGCAAAGGAAATCAGGTAGCCTCTCGAAGCTGGAAAAGGAAAGGATATGGATTCTCTCCTAGAGCTCAGAGGGAACACAGTCCACCAGCCCACTTTGGATTTCTGACTCCAGAAATAGAAGATAATAAATTTATGTTGTTTTAAGCTACTAAAGTTGATAATTTGTTATAGCAACAATAGGAAATTAATATACAGTGTGAAAACTTGACACTAGATTTATACATAGGCTGGATAGAAAAGATCAAAGCAAAGTAGAACACTGTCTGATTGCCTAAGATAGGTTGTCAAAAAGGATTTTAAATTGTTGGATGTCGTAATCAAGTGTTAAAAGTTTGACAAATTATTTTCCTAAGATTTCAAACGAAGATCTCTTGGCCTTTGGGGTTCATTGTGGCCCTGGGCGTTGAAGTTCCTACTGTGAGGCAATATGGCGAGCGGTTAAAAGCAAGGACTAAAGCCAGACCAACTAGGTTTGAATCCCATCTCTACCCCTGACTAACAGTATGATGTGTGCCTCAGTCTCCTAGTCTGTCAACTGGAGTGACAGTATCCCCTTCAGACGGTGGTTTTGAGGAGTAATAATGGTAGTATATAGAGAGTACACAGAACAATGCCTCAAGTCTTTTAGAACAGTGTCTTTCACTTTGAAAGTATTAGTTGTTGCTACTGTTGTTACTGCTATTGAGAGTGTCTTGTGCAGGCTAACAATTTCTTTTAGGAGAATGGAACAATTTAAAGAATGGAAACTGAACTGTTGTAACAGAGTAGAGTGACCTAGGGTAGACCAAACATTAGGCATAGGGTTTATGGCACATTTGAGGAACACTGGGCTTGGGGAATCTACTGCTTTTATAGTGATCAGCGAGCCAGAAGAGTTGGGGGAGGACTTGACCTTATTCCTCAAGGTCGTTCGCTGTAAACACATCCCAGAGAAATGGCCTGAATAAAGGGCAGTCTGGGCCTTGTACTCTTGGCCTACTCAGCAAGCATGTGTGGGGACATTCAGGGCCCATGGACAGCTGCCCCTCCCAACAACCTGCCCCTCAGCCCAGCTGACCAGAGCTTTGAGAACAGCCTTGACTTCTGCCCACTGATCCCAGTGATCACCATAGCTAGTGCTGAGGTCAAACCAGCAGGACCACTATCAGCACCACCAGTTTTTAGCTTAGCTGAACCAGAGGTAAACCAGGCCCATGCATTTAGGAAAATCTCTGTGAATCCAAGGGCCCTATTAAACCAGTAGCTCTACTTCATGTGGCAGAGTAGAAGATGGAAGATTGTCCCAAAGGGGTAGCTACTACTTCTTTATGCAAAACTGAGATGACAGTAGGGCCAGGCCAGTCATAGCCTCAAATACATTTTTATTTAACCAGCAAATAGGCCCTTTCCTTGTAAGTGTCATGTCCTAGTTGACCCTCCCCAAAATGGGGAGAAAGCTTGAGAGTCACAAGCCTCCATGGGTCAGATACTCATTTTTATCAAGAGCTTAGTAGTAATCAACAGCTGCCTCCCCTTTTTGAAAGGAGTATTTTATGGGTTGAACTGTGTGTCCTCCCCACAATTCATATGTTAAAGTTCTAACCCCTACTATCTCAGAATGTGATGTATTTGGAGAAAAAGTCTTTACAGACTCAATCAAGTTAAAAGGAAGTCATGGGCCCTAATCCAATATATAACTGCTGTCCTCATAAAATGGGGCAATTTGGACACAGAGGCATGTCTACAGAGAGAATGCCATGTTACTATGAGGTCAGCTATTTATAAGCCAAGGAGAGAGATGTGGAACAGATCCTAACACATAGCCCTGGAAAGGAACCAACCCTACTGACACCTTAATTTTGGTCTTCCGGCCTCTGGAACGGAGACAATAAATTTCTGTTGTTAAACCACCTAATTTGTGGTATACTTTGTTATAGCAGTCCCAGGAAACTAATACAGGAGGTATCTGGTGCCTGTGTTTGCAGGTGGTGATGCTGTATAGGCAATGGCCACTCTGGAGATTGGCTGTGATTCTCTCTTTTTCTCCTTGGAATTCTATATTGTTTTTAATAGATCACCTGGAAGGGGTCAGGGAATCCCTGAATGAAAGAGTGTCTCCTTATCACTATGAATATTTACAAAATAAGCAACACATTATATTTCATTATACATTTATACACAGGGGACATAACTGCAGTATCCTGAGTCAGCTCAAGGATCACTTTCATTTCCCTTCCTTACTGCAAATGTTGCTCAAACTCTTGTCAGCTGAATTCCAGTGCCTTTTTTTCCCTCTATGGGAACACAGACCAAAGAATTTAACACAGGGGTTAAATAGTTGTCATAGCAAGGGTTACCTTCATAGTTAAAGAGACTACACTGTCTCATAGCTGGGGGACACTGGGGAGTGACAAGGACAGCTTTTTGCCCTTTGGCTCCTCATTCTGAATTGGTGCTGCTTTGTCTCCTGCACACCCCTGGCTTCTGGAAGGCACTGGTGTTTAGGGGCATCATTCTTTTAGCCTCTACTGGTGTCACTGCTCTGTCCTGCACCCTCAGCTCTTTGGGCCATCCTGGTGCCGAGTTCACCCTCCCCACATGGGACCAAGTGTACTTGGGCACCTGTATCCAACAGAGCCATAAACATTGGAGTTCCTCCTCACTCCTCTCTGAAGTTCCTCAGCACACCCAACCTTCCTCTCCAAAGCAGCTGAATTTAAAGGGAGAGGGAGAGGGAGAGAGTAGCTGAGTGCCAGTAAGCAAGGCTTTGCAGTTACTCTCCATTTCAAGGGGCCTTCCTTCAGCCACAGCCACATTGCCTGCCTTCTGGCTAGGCTTTAGGACTTGCCGCTGCATCTTCTCAATAACATCCTTTCCCTCTCCCACTCCATAGGACAACATGCCATAATCACAGCACTACCTGGGCGGCTTATTTGGATTCTACCTTTTGTTGTTCAGCCCATTTAACACACTGGACAGTGAGAGACCTTGCCCTACATTCCCACTCTTACCACCACCTGGGTTAGACTATTTTCTACCAGATCTCAGAGAGTCTTTTCATATCCGATAACCCAACCAATGAGGGCCCATGTCCTTTCTCTTTCAGAACGCCATGTCTCTATCAGTATCTCTTCCTTGTCACTCAAGCTGACAGGCTCTGTGAAGGGTCTGGGATTTTACCCAACTCACAAGTCAACAATTTAGTCTGCCGCTGCTTCACAGATACTGGCAGAAGACTTGTTACAATGCAGCAAGCAGCATGAGTATGTTTATTATAAGCATGAGATGCTTTATATGTATCCCACGTCTCATGGAGGGCATGGAGGTAGACTTAATTGGATGCTGAGGTGGATACAGTGGGTTTGGGATATAACTGAGAAACAGAAAACTGTAGAATCTACTACTTTTACCATGAGTGGTCAGCAAGGCTGCTCTCAGGTAAGACATGTTACTTCATCTCTCAGATTCCTTACTGCAAACACAACCCGGAGAAATGGCCCATGTAAACAGCGGTCAGAGCCTGTATCCTTGGCCTACCCAGTAAAAAGTACAGGAATGCTCATGGCCCATGCAGATTGATTCTCCTAACATGTGTTTGCTTAAGAAGGTTAGTTTTTCCTTGTTGATCAGGATATACTTTATTATTTATCTTCTACTTTTAAGGAAAGATGACAAAGAGAATATATAGATCAACATGGCTGAAGCAGCTTTCCAACCCTAAAGCTACTTAAGTTCTGATACTAACTAGGACAGCCTAGAGAGAAACATAATCTGTCGAAATTTTGGAAGATCGGGTGGATCCTCAAATGTTCCCCATTTAAAAGAATTAAACTTCTAACATCATTCCTAGGGTTTAGAGCTATTCTTTTATTGAAAAAAAAAGTATCACAAAACATTTGATATATACTAGAGAATATATTTATAATATAAGTTATGAGGTATAATAAAATGAGCACCAATGATCACAATACCCCTGAAGCTACCCATCGGTAGGTTCCATCCTACATGTTGAATGAACCCAAACGGCTAAAGCTGGCCTGGAATTGACCTCATATCCCAGAGCCCCTGGGACTGAGAAGGACTCGGCAAATGTAAGGAATGAGCCACTGGAGTAGATTACATGTCTTTGCAAGTTCTTTAAAAGATTGTTTTTAAATCCCAGTTGAAACACCATATGTACTAATGCCTTTAGCTCGTGATAGTATGTCTTTTGGCTCTTTTCCTATTTAAGGGCATCTCAGTAACAAGGGTAAATAGAAGAAATAAAGCAAAACTTTTATTAAAGAAAAGCCTAATGACCAGAATCCTTTTCCCGGTGGCTTTTTCTTAGTTCTACTCTCTCTCTCTCTCTCTCTCTCTTTTTTTTTTTTTGGTAAAAAAAGATAAATCATAACTCAATAATCCCATATTATTGGGGGTTTTTTCCCCTTCAGGGAAAAGGACCAGAATTAGAGATTCAGCTACATCTCATACCAGTGTCCAGGTTCCTAACTGGCTGTACATTCTATTCACA